GGAAAGAATTTGGGGCCAGATCATGAAAATCTAGCCCATAGTAAAACATGAGGCCGCGGACGAAAGGATGAAGGGGAAACCCTAGTCCGTGAAGGAAATGGGGGATGAACACTACCCTTTCGTTAGGCTTCGGAGTGGGAATGATCTGCTTTTTGGTAGGGAGACCGTGGACTATGTTCGTGGCCAAATACCCAGCTTCCCAGAGGTCCTTGATGTTCTCCTCTGTAACAGAGGAAGTCATCCACTTGCCCTGCGCTCCAGATCTGGACATGGCTAGTAGTGTTTGGTGGCGATGGAAAGGACTAAGACTTGGGCGCTGGAGCTCGAATGGCGGATAGGCTCAGGAGGAAGAAGGCATGGGGTAAAAAGATAGATCTTTGTCTTCTTATAAAGGCAACGAATATCAAGCACCCCCTCATAAGCCTTAAATCTCGCCTATTCCCAAGGGGACGTGTGAACGACACGGTTGGATTATCCAAAACCCCTATTGACGAGAATCCGTAATAAGGGGACACGATATCTGCTTTCACAAGACGTGTCATTGGCCGTGCCTCGAAATGCGAAACGTTGTAAAACGGTTCAGAATAATAATAAGGCCAGAACATAACGTCTCGCCGGAAAAGTGGCCCGTGGACGTGACTTATTTTAAGTATTGTTGCTTTTTACAACTTAGGGTTGTACATGTTAAGCAAGGTCGGACACAACTCTTGTGTGCGGAAAACTGCTTTGGAGTATTCGGAAAGGGGAACCCGCCTCGCAATGCCGAAGACAATCTGCGTGCCGGATACATCATCATTGAACCCTGGTTCAGGGGCTACTGAGGGAGTCCTGGACTAACGAGTCCTCGGGCATCCGGGCTATGTGATATGGGCCGGACTGATGGGCCGTGAAGATATGAGATAGAAGAACCTTCCTCGTGTCCGTATGGGACTCTCCTTTGCGTGGATGGCAAGCTTGGCGATTGGATCATGTACCTTCCTTTCTCTGTAACCGACTCTGTACAACCCTAGATCCCTCCAGTGTCTATATAAACTGGAGGGTTTAGTCTATAGATGCGATCACAATCATACAGGCTAGACATCTAGGGTTTAGCCATTATGATCTTGAGGTAGATCAACTCTTGTAACCACTATACTCATCAAAGTCAATGGTATTGCCTCCATTAAGAGGGACCGAACCTGGGTAAACATCGTGTCCCCTGCCTCCTTGTTACCTTCGATCCTTAGACGCACAGTTCGGGACCCCCTACCCGAGATTTGCCGGTTTTGACACCAACAGCGAGTCCTCCACATACTCGAAGAACACACGGTTCTTGGCGAGGATCTATGGGTTCTCCTCGACGAGCTTGCTCACAAAGGTGCATCGGGATGCTCGGCCTCAAGCTGCACCTCAGCCTTGTAGTGCCCCTTCTCCTCAACCCGTGAGGCGCAAGGGATGCCGCGACGGAGCTTTGCTGGGGAAGTTGAGCTTAGCATGGCTCCTTGTCCTCCCGTGTCGTCCCTGCGCGGTGATCGGGGGGAACCCTAGCACCACCGCGTCCTCGTCCCTCCCCGACCTCTCCTCCTCGCCGCCGCCGGGGTGCGCCCGACTGCCCGGGCTGCGGCGGCGGCGGCATGATCTCTTCTCCCATGGCTTGCTGGATCTGGTGCGTGGGGATCGTGGCGGTGGTTGGCGGCGCGCTGGAGGAGGGGCGCGCCGACGTGGGCTTGGGGGCGACGGCAGTTTCCCCTGGTTTGCGTGGGAGTCTGCTCGGGACGCGCGGCAGCGGCCCTCGGCAAGCGGTGGCAGGCGCTGGGATCTCGGCGGCGCTCCGGCGTGTGCAGGCGGCGGCGGTCCCTATGCGCGGTTGGCGGCTCCGTCTCTGACCCGGACGGCGTGGGGGATGGCGGCTGCCCGGCGTGGCCGGCGATCTAGATGCGGTGGTGCCGGCGGCTCGCTGATCTGCCGGTGCTCCAGGGTTCTACCCGGTGGTGTTGGTGGTGACGGCGGCCCGTGCACGAGAATTGGATCCCTTCGAACTGATCTGGGTGAAAATTTGCCTTCGGCGTCTGCTAAGGCCGGCGGTGGCGGCGCTATCTGCGTCATTCCCTTCTTGAAGGCATCGTCGTGGAGAAGTTCAAGGCCACTCTCTGCTACCTCTGGAGGAAACCCTAGATCGGATGATCGGATGACGGCGGCGCTCTGGTGTCGTTCCTCCCTTGGGGGCGTCATCCTTGGAGGTACACACGTGATCGAGGGACCAGAGAACGGATTCTTTGGTGGAGCGGTGCTTCATCCTACACACTATGGCGACGGATCTTGACAGCGTGACGCGGTGCAGATTCGGAGTTCGCTGTGAGAGGATGGACTCGCGCAGGAGGACGATGCTGTCAGGCGTCGTGGTGGCATCGATGGCATAGAGACCTGAGACGGTACATGCAACAGTACAGCTCTGAAGATGGATTGGTTGCAGGTCGCTGTGGCGGCCTCATACCCGGCAGGCGTCCTGGTTGAGGAGTGCGCCGGACTGGTAGGTGCCCATACCCGGCAGGCGTCCTGGTTGGGACCTCAGGTCTTAGATGTTTAGGTTTGGCTGCGATGTCTGTTTGGTATTAGGCTCAGACTATCTGCGCCCCTTCATCAATTGGATAGGTGTAGCAACAACTATTGTTTAGACTGTACCTTTAGTCTTGCTGTTGTGTGGCTTTATAAGGTCTTACAAGAATAATCAATAAAGTCGCCGTATGCATCGACCAGATGCAGAAGCCGGGAGTCATCCTCCTTTTTCTTAAAAAAAAAGTAGCGGAGTGCCGTGGCATCGTAGGTGCGCACCGCCTTCTCCATGGTGCCGAACGTGCCAAGCCACACATGTTCCCTCGTGTCCATATTACGGATCTTCGCCGCTCATGTGCCCCACGGCTGCATCCTCACGCCGCGATAGTTCGGTTTTGGCTGTGGGGCTACGACCAGGGGCGGATCCAGCGTGGGGTCGTGTAGGGGCGGCCGCTCCGGATAAATTTTGGGAACCTAGGGTACCCTCGGACTGCTTTGGCCAGTCCTGGTCACCATGACAGACGTCAGGAGCTTCGTGTACGCAGGCTACCAAGAAGAAGAAGGGAAACGCTTCGAGCAGGATTATGATACGAGAAGAGAACGCTTCGAGTAGGAGATGGGCCAGTGAGTAAGGCCCAATAAAACATGAGATGACCCATTATTTTTCTTTACGCAGCCCATTTCACTTCTGTACGCAGCCTTTGATGTTCCCGATGCCTACCGATCGATACCGATCAGCCATCATCACGCCGTCGCCCAGCCTCGCCGCCTTGACCTTGACGTGATGCCCTCCCCTGCGGCCCTTCCCAGGTTCTTCCAACCAAAGGTGTTCGTTGAGGAAGTCCACTTGTTTCTACGGCCGTCCACGCAAGAGGCAGTCTCCCCACTGCCGCGGCCACTGGCATCCCGCTCAAAACTGTGAGGGAGCAGCCAAGAGAGGTAGCAATGAGCAGGTTCTTTTGATCTTCCCTTATTTTCTGCTCTTCTAGCTCTATCATATTTAATTGTTGTCATTCTATAATTGTTGTCATGTTGACCTGATTCTTGAAAGCTGAATACTTAATTACGAATACAAGTTGTAGGAAGATTCAGCCAGCGGGATTACAAGTTAGATTTTATACGTTTTGTGTTATAGATTTTTCATCTAGTCCTTGAGAATGAAACTTTCTTAAACAATTCATTGTGCTTCGACTAATTAATTATTTGATTAACATATTTGATTGCATCGTCTATCGAGGCTTTGATATTTTGTTGCTTGTAAAAGTTCGCCCCGGGTAACTTCAAATCCTGGATCCGCCGCTGGCTACGACATGAGCTCAAGGAGGCGGCAACGAATCGCGAGGTGGATGCCCGAAACGCGGAGGCAACGACGAATCGCATGGCAGTGGTGACCCGAATCGGGAGCTCAGGTAGGTGGTGGGGTTTCGTTCCTGACAAAGCTGGTTCTGTGGTGGCCCTCTTGTCGACAAGCTCGAGGCGGCCGCGGCAACTTGATGTGTCAATTTCAGCGCTTGCCGCAACTTGATGCATCTATTTCAACGGCTGCAGCAACTTGATGCATCGATTTCAGCTGGCGGCGGCTGCCGACGAGCGAATCGAAGTGGGGTGGGAGGTCGGTAGGGTGCCGAGAAGAGTGGGAAAGTGTGGGTGGCCATCGGAAGGCGATCGCACGAGGGGAGGGAATCTTTTGCTGAGATTGCTTTTCGGCCGCTCAAATTTGAGAGGCGGCTGACACATCTCCTCAAATATTTGAGGGGTTAAACTAGAGAGTTCAGGTAGGTGCAGCTTAACCCCTAAAAAAAAGTATCTTTTGAGGAGTCAACCCGTTTTAGAAGTTCCGCTAGAGATGCCCTAAGAGATCGAAACATACCTACAGGTATTAGGCAAGTATCAAGGTGGGAAAGAATTATGTTTATTTGTTTATTTACCAATACTCGATGCATACATATCAGGTATGGTATCCGATACGGTTCTCCCATTGTATGACATATTGGGTTTGTGTGCGTTCATAGGGGTGAGTGTATGCACGTATATATGAACGTTTGCGTCGGTACTGTGTTCAAAAAAATAAAGAAAAAAGATGTGTTGTGTGAGGCCAGTGAATTAAGTCTGAAACATGCATAGATTGGACCCAATCAACCAGAAAAACATAAGCCAGGAGTCGTACATTCCTCCTGCTGCTTGCTTGCCCTTCTGATCAAACTTGTGCGTACTATAACCAGACGAAAAATGTGTGTGTGAAGCAGTTTCGGTTCTCATAATACAAGAGTGTGTATTGACTTGTATTCAACTGACCAGCTTCCTTTAGCAAAGATTACAAGTGTATGGTATACAATGTCAGTAGCTTGATCGATACAATTTTGACATAGAAATATCACTGGGATGCCCAGCCTGTCATCAACCGAATGACCAAAACTTAGTTATTTCTTTTTCTTAAATGTTCGGCAGACTCCCTCTCCCGTAGGCTGCTATTCAAATATGGGAAGATCAAAAGGCTTGGTCTTTGACCCGCCTTCTGAACCTCTTGAAGACGACGATAGAGATAGCGCCGAGAAGGCCTTTGGATGGGATTCTCTGTCCATGTCCAAGAAGAAGCGATGCCTGCCAAGCAGCAGTGTGCAAAGCACTTTGCTTCAGAGTTAGCAGTGACAAAACAAAATACATGACATGCCGTGGGAAAAAAAGAACTTACCATCTACAGTCTGATGTCAATTCTGGGTGAAAAGCGGTGGCGAGGATGTTCCCTTGACGTACCGCAACAATCACCCGATCTTTTGAGTACACCTCTTCCTGCCAGGGTAATATGCATTGCAAGTCAGTGCATAGAAGAGATAAGGTAATTTGGAGTATGTTTTCGACAAGGGATCCATCAGGGTAGCCGCTACTCATGTAGTAGTATTTCTCAAAGCATTTTGTCAGCAAAGTACTTGAATAAAAGGAACATCCAGATACACACATCTGGTTCAGCAAGAAAAAAAAGTAAATAATCACAGTTGCCAGTAAGTCAAACTCAAAAGAGCAGGAAGCAAACCTCAACACCCTCGGCAGATGGTATGGTAATGCTGGGTCTACCAGAAGGAACAGGGCATTCAGCCAGTATTTCAACATCCGATCCTACTTCCAAGATAGCAGGTGCTCGTATAAATACTCCACGGCATGTATTACTGCCTCCTTCCTTCTCCGCAAGCATTGGCACTGAAAGTTCGGTTTCAAAGCTTTGCAGCTGCAAGAGAACAGTTTGCAATAAATCGTGGTTCACATTATTGTACATTTATCTCAAAAACATTTGAAGATATGCAATTCAAGTGATATTACAAACTAATTCAGCCATCAAATAGACAACATGGTCCTCGGACTTACCTGGCTCCCAAAAAAGTTCCGGTGGACAGTGCAGTCTAGCCCCCCAACAAGCTCTTGGCCTCCCAATTTTTGTCCTGCGGGTAGCATTACTTAGTAGTGATCATGACATTCCATCAACTAATCTCACCAAATTAAAAGCTAAAGCATCTACTAATTGGTGACCCACGTACCTACCGCCTTGTTTGCAAGGAAAATGAGCCCAGCACATGTTCCCCACACAGGCTTTCCTGCACCGACAAACTCTCGAAGTGCAGGAAACTGCAATGCAGATGAAATGAAATGTTGGACATTTAACAGTGTAAAAAGGTAAAGTCTAAGAAGATGTGTACTCTATCAGAGGTATAAAAGTTACAAACACTCTGTCGAGGTGCAATTCCAATGAAATATATACATAGTCAATTATAATGAGCCTGGAACTAGTTTTATGCAAAATAACCAGCAACAATCCCGCT